GTATGAACCTTTTGCAACTTGAACCTCAGCAATTTTACTGATCTCTGACTCTGATAAAGCAGTGAATTGCATGCTCTTGCTGCAAGAAACAACAATAAATCTTGAAGGTAAGAATCCTTTTACAAGTAGCAGGATTCATCAAGACTAATCATAAGAAGTAAAATCCCTTACATTCTACGTGGCCCAACATCCTCAATATAGGGGTTCCTTCGTGAAGGATAGGCCCTCAGCTCGTGCTCTATACATCTTTCTCCTGGAATTGCAGAAAACAACACATGGAAGGGTTTAATTTAGCCTAATGGGCTCTCATCAAACACAATTTTATAACAGAAACCCCATTTATCACCTCCCAGCATAAAGGAAACTTAAAAAAACAAAAACAGAAAAGAAAGCAAGCAAGCAAGCAAAAAGAAAAGATTATCACTAGATGCTTTTTTCTCATGTGAATAATGTCAAGCGCTTATGGGGCGTCCATGAAAGGAGCATCCATTTTATATTTTGTCAATAGGCAATCCAACTCTTTTGGTAAAATAATTAAGAGATGATATTTAAAGAGGGAGACACTTCAATTAGACATTTTTAGGCGACAAGCCGTATTGCAAACAGTTAAAATAGTCTATCCCTAAGCAATGAATGATTACTCATAGGGAGGGGACTTTAAAGACATGGAAACACAAAACCAAATCACAATCCAAGATCTATGGGGCAAATCAGAAAACCAACTTTCAAGCTCAAAATACATAGCAAGCACTGCATTGAGGTTTGCAGAAGCAAGAACTAAAAGCTTCAAAATTTCAATGACCTAAATTCCAAGCTGAACAAATGGAGTAAAGAAGGCATAAAACAATGACAGAATTCACCCTAAAATTCAAAGCTGAAAGAAATCAGCAGAAAAGAAGGTGCAGTGCTTCCAAAGTGAGTAATTAAGGCTTTTGAAGGGCATCCATTTTATATTTTGTCAATAGGCAATCCAACTCTTTTGGTAAAATAATTAAAGATGATATTTAAAGAGGGAGACACTTCAATTAGACATTTTTAAGGCGACAAGCCGTATTGCAACAGTTAAAATAGTCTATCCCTAAGCAATGAATGATTACTCATAGGGAGGGGACTTTAAAGACATGGAAACACAAAACCAAATCACAATCCAAGATCTATGGGGCAAATCAGAAAACCAACTTTCAAGCTCAAAATACATAGCAAGCACTGCATTGAGGTTTGCAGAAGCAAGAACTAAAAGCTTCAAAATTTCAATGACCTAAAATTCCAAAGCTGAACAGAATGGCAGTAGAAAAGAAGGCATAAAATCTCAATGACATGCAATTCCACCTAAAATTCCAAAGCTGAATAGAATATCAGCAGAAAAGAAGGTGCAGTGCTTCCAAAGATGAGTTCAGATTAGAGGCTTTTGAAGGGCAAAAAAGAAAGCCCAAATCTTTGCCTCACTTTTTCTGTGGACTAAATTAGAAGTACGCAGGCAGAACTGAAGCTGATTAGTGCATGCTTCAAGAGCGATACAAGAATAATTTTAACCCTTTTGGACAAAAAGTACTCTTTACTTAAAAAATATATACACTTATTTTCCTTAAGTGGACCTGCTACAAAAAAGAGAGAGAGAGAGAGAGAGAACACGATCCGGGTATACATCAGATAATGTTCTGCATATGATATATTACCATTAAGTAGCCTCTATTTTGTTATTAACTCTATCCTAGATTGGCTGTAACATGTGTGGTCCATAGCTTTTATGAAGACAGATTTAGATAGATTGTTTTTGTTAGAGATGGGTAGATCTTGAAATTCATGCAATTTGCTTTACAGTTTTAAAGCTTTCAACTTTGACTTAAATATTTCAACAATTTGCTTTATTGTACGCATTCATCTTCGACTTGAATACTTCAAGTAATTTGCTTTATCATTTTAAAGCTTTCATCATCTGTCACAATCAAACCCAGCCCTCCTTCCCCTTGTTGAGACCCTGTTCCTCCACTGCCGCGATCAATCTGTTACAAACAGTTGCTGCCTTGCTGGCTCCAAGTCACCAACGTCAATCTCCTCTGAGAATACTGGCTCCAGGTTTGCTTCTTCGCTCGCTCACTCTCTGCCCGTCTACCTTGATCACTCTCTGCTCTAGAGACGAAGGTTTGCAACACCGTGCAACCGATGGAGATGAGCGCTTGTGATGAAATCGATAGAGTAGATGGAGATGTGTGCTTCACAGTGATGGAAAAGAGCGCTTTGCATCGGCAATGATGATAAGGGTTCTGCTATGTTGAGGACAAAATTTAGAGGGGCATTTTTGTCTGAAAATTATTATAAACAAGGATAAGTTTGTCTCCAAGTCTTCTAGACCCAGGACTGCTATCCCAATACCATGGGGAAAGTGGGTTTTGAGCAATCCACAAAGGTGGGTTTAAGCAATCCCAAGTTAGGCTCAATCCCTCATACCAAACACATGATATTGGTCCTTTCCTAATACCAGTCCCAAACCCAACCCTCCATTCCTTCATATCAAACAGGGCCTTAGATGCTGAGATGCTTATAACAATACAACAAAAAGTATCCTTGGAACCAATAAAAGACAGCAAAACATAGACTTGGGTAAAAATAATTAAATGACTTGAAAAATACTAGAAAGACTGAAAAAATCCACCAGCAAACCACAAAATTGAAGTCAACTTTCAAGCTCAAAATTCATATTTCAAGCTCAAAATTCATACCATGCACCGCATTGAGGAATACAGAAGCAAGATATAATGGCTTCAAAATTTCAGTGACACACAATTCCACCTAAAATTCCAAAGCTGAACGGAATGGCAGTGGAAAATAAGGCATAAAATCTCAATGACACGCAATTCCACCTCAAATTCCAAAGCTGCACAGAATGGCAGTAGAAAAGAAGGTGCAGTGCTTCCAAAGATGAGTTCAGATTAGAGGCTTCCAAAGGGCCAAAAAGAAAGCCCAAATCTTTGCCTCACTATTTCTGTGGACTAAGTTAAAAGTACACAGGTGGAAAAGAAAGACCTAGCAGGTCAGAGTTAATATCCTAGGGATCCAGGAATTAAGTCATGGACTTAATGGGTTAAATTTGCATAGCCTAAACTCAATGTGGATGCCATTGGACTAAAGTTTTCAGCACATGAAACTTATATTGGCCTAATCATTTGGATTATATCATTATTAGGATTCTGTAGGTAATTTGATGGCAGGTTTTTCCTTGGGATAAAGATAGTATGGTTTTTGCAGTATAGGGAGTGCCACTTATAATTGGTGCTTCTTAGCCGAGGTGCTGCTGTATGCCAAAATAGAAGATAGAATTTTACCGTTCTTTATCTCTTCCCTCTTCTCTCTTTCTGTTCTCAGCATCAGTTTACAATTTTAGTCGGTTTTAAATGATATCTCTGGTAAATAGCTTAACGGGAAGATGACTTAAATTTTGAGGAGCTTTTGCTGTATCAATAATAGGAGGAGCATTGGATGAGGGATGAGGTGCTGATCCACTTGGAGTAATGGGCCTAGGTGCCACAGGTATAGGTTTATAGGATTCGGGTCAGTTGACATAGGTTGAGATTGAGGTGTGGGGGTTTCATTTTCACCAGGCGTAGGAGAAGAATTCACATATTCAGCTATCAAAAATGAATTCACATATTCAGATTGAGAAGGTCCATGATAGCATATATATCAAAGCGTGAAACTTTCAGAAAAAAATTTCATAATGAAGGGCAATGGCAAAGCATCAAACTTTTAGAACTAATTTTAGAGTTGAAGACCACATTTTTAAAAAGCCAAAAACACATATATCAAAGCATGAAACTTTCAGGAAAAATTTTCAGAATGGAGAGCAATGGCAAAGCATCAAACTTTCAGAGCTAATTAGAGTCGAAGAGCACATTTTTAGAGAGCCAGAAAACATGATATCAGTAATATATTTCAGAACAAAGAGCAACGGCAAAGCACCAAACCTCCAGAACTAAAAAAACGTACAGCCGGAGAAGCAAAACAAAAGAAACAAGCAGAATATAACTACAGTACAAGCAAAGTATGGCAGGGGAAGGACAAAAAAATCAAAATTGGGACGAACAAGAAAAAGAACTATCACACTCATACCAGGGAGAAGCACGAAACACGAGCTCGAGGAAGAAGAAGAAACGCAACAGCCACGAACGCGAACTAAAGAAGACGTTGATCAGTCGACGGCGTCCTTGAGCGTCGCAGAGTTCTCGGAGTTACAGGCAAACGGCAACTAGAAATGAGGGGCGGAGGCCGATAGCATTTCGAAAAAGGGGGGTGACGACTGAAAATCGAATGGAATCGAATCAAAAACTTTTTTATTTGATTCGATCTATTTAACTTTTTGAAAATTGGTGAAAATGACTTTGTTGAAAAAAAATTGATCCTAAAAATCAAATACAATTCACGGACTAAGGCTAATATTTTATTTATTAAATAATATGAACAAATAATCAAAATATCTCTCTATTTAAACTAATAAAATTGAAAAAAAAAACAAAAGTTAACCATTCAACAAAAGCCTTACATCCCAAATCAAAAGTATTGCACCTTAATCAAAAACCTTACATCCCAGTCAAAAGTATTGCACTATAGTTAGAAGTCTTAGACATCAAGGCTTCTGACTTAAATGAAAGTTTATGGCTTGAGGTACATATATTAAATAAGTAGTCTTTTTTTTTTCAATTTCATTAGTTTAAATTGAGAAATATTTTAATTATTTATTCATATTATTTAATAAATAAAATATTAATTTTAATCCTTAAATTACATTTGGTTATTAGGAGTAATAACCAATTTTTCCTATTTTTTTAGGTATTATTTCCCATTTGTTTTTAGTTTCTACTCTGAAGTCTAGAGTCTTTAAGGACTACTTGGATGACTCTTAAGAATATATCCAAATCATATCTAAAACATATTTTTATTAAATTCAACAAATATTCGAATCTTCTAAATACACCTTTACTGTGTGTAAACTGAAATGGCACTTAACCATACGCCACTTGGCGGTTCCTGAGAAGTGAGAAGCGATTTGAAGAGCGGGGTTGGTCGTGGAGGAGCGGTTCGGTGGTGACCAAAATCGAAGTCCTCGACATCAAAATGTTACAGTTTCCGGCGTATATGACACAGTTTCCTTCATCGACAAGGACGATTCCGACGTCGTTCCTATTACCATCTCAATGGCCTCAGCCTCATAACGAAGAACTCCTTCTCGCAATGGAGGAGTCCGAGTTTGAAGAAAAGGTATTTTACTCTTAGATCCTGTTTTCCATTATACTGGAGTAAAAGAAAGGGAAGTTTTTTCAACGATTTAATTCCCTTAACTGTTTAATCGCACTTTTGCTCCGGAATTGCCCCAAATGGGGAAAACAATGCCTTCGACATCGCGGAGAATGGTATTCCTTTACCGTGTGCTTTGACTTAATTCAAGGGCAGAAACTCCCATCGGAAGTTGACTTATCGTTTGTAGCGTCATTGAACAGATTTTTTTTCTAGGTAAACAAGGGGGGCGATAGAAATCACTTTTTACTCGCATGTTTAGCATGTAAGCTGGATTAGAAGAATTTAGAGTTTTGCAGTCATGTCAAATGTCAACTTATGATCTTCATTTACAAGTTCTTGCGATTTCTCCTTTTGGTCTGAATAATATTGGTTGGGCAATTCCTACCATCAAGCAGACTAGACACTCACTGGTTGCTGATTGCTAGGCCGCAAAATAACATCGTCGGACATTTTAGATTTTTTTTTTTTGGGATAATCATCTTTGCATTGCGAGAACTTGTGATCACCCCTGTGTGAACTTCAGCTATGGTCTGAATGAATTGCCCAATCTAACAAACAGGGCATTTTTGAGAAAAACAATTGTATGGATCATAATTAGAAAATCTTTCAGGTTGAAGCAAAAAATATACTTTGAAATATGAGGCTGTCAATAGTATTTTTATACAGAAGAGTCAGGTCGCACAGCTGAGAAAAAAGTTCAGATTTGCAAGGAATTTACAGATGAAGTAGAATTTATGAGTGACATGGAATGGGTTTAATGGAGATTAACTGTATGGGTTTGGCTTGCCAGGAGTAAAGATATGATCTATTGAAATTAGGATTAGGAAACAAGTTATCAAAATAATGACAATATTCTATCACCCCTACCTCACCTAAGTTTTGCTGTGTGTGAGAGTCTGTGGAGGACCCGTAGCCAGTCCATGAAGTATGTTTGTTGATGTGTCAACAGCAGAATGCATTTATGTCAAAAACTTCTTGTTTCTATATTTTTAATTTTCCTATCCTATTTTTGTATAGGAAAAATAAAAAATTTTCGGCATAAAACCTTGGGTTATCAGATGAGAGGCTATAATCCTTACGGAAAAGCTATTCTTGAACTTATTTATTAATGCATTACACAGAATTTGGAATGAAAGGTATTGTTTGTGACAATATAATATAGGTTTCATCTTCAAAATACAAGGTTGGGAGGGAGTGCATTTTAAGTTTCTCCCCTTGTGATTTTTCTTCCTTACCCGTTCATGCTTATTATTGTTGGGATGAGTCATTGCAGTGCAATGAGATCAGGAAGACAAATAGCAACCTTATCGTGATAGGGAAAACTACCACTGATAATGACAAGGAGGAGTTTGATAATGATGCTGATGACGATGATGCTGACAATGGGGAGGAATCTGAGGGTGAAGAATTTGAGCAAGAAACTGGTTGAAGAGATGCGCATCAATGCTCATTAACTTGTGTGGAAGAATCTTAAAATAAGTGCAGATGCCTTGATCATATCTAGTAGTTGCTTCGCCACACATCCATAGCTTTCTTTTCTCTTATTTCTATTTGAATCAATTTTATATATCCTATGAACTATATTATGGCAGCATAATTTATTAATTGATACCTCGACTTCAGCATGGGAGAATACAAAGAACTTATTAGACTGTTATTCATTTATTCGTTTCTCATTCGGCCTTTTATATCTCACAGTCTTCTGTTTGGGTCCGTCACCAGCCCAAAACAAGAGAAAATCTGAACTGTCGTGACTCGTGAATGTCCTTACCTTCATTCTGCTAGGTTTTAATTTATTCTATTGTTATTGTCAGCTTCCTCCTGGTCATTTATTTTTCATGAACAAGGCCGTAATTCCCCTCGTTAATTGCCTCCAAATCTTTCTTTGTTTTTTTTTGGTTTGGGGCAGGGGGTGTTTGTTGCAAAATGAGTTAACTCTTTCTCAATGAAGATGAAGCAATCTCTTATCTGAACCTTGTGCGCCTAATTGTCTTAGACTTGTAGCAGGACAAGGTTTGAGTTTTTCTGGAAGAGTAGGGTTTGGTTTGGCCTTTATGCCGTGTTTGAAGTGGATTAGGACAGAGAAGTGACTATGTATTATCATTAATGTCGGTTTTTCCCCACAGAAACATCATTACATGTCTTGCAAGTGAAGTACCCTCTTGTCAATGCTTTATCTTATTGGTTCATCATATGCTGTGATCATAAGCAGATAAATAAACAGAATATATCACTCAACATATTTCTTTCAATAATACAAAATCAATTTCTTGATTTCTTGATTAACTTCGAATTTCTTTTTTAAAATTAAATCACTTGAAGCAACTTTAAATAAACTTAAGCAGCAAAAAAGAACACAGATAAGGCAACATCAGTTATGTTCCCAGCTCTGAATTACTGCCTTGCTTAGTTTGATTAGAGGGGAGGTGAAGGGAGGAGGATGAGGGGAAGTGGAGGGAAGAGGAGGGGGCAGAGGTTTTGGCCCTCCCCTCCTCTAGACTAAATAGGGGTTAAAGTGAACTCTTGATAATCCACATCTTATTTAATAATTTATATGTGCTCTATTGCAAATTTTATATTTTTTAAAAATTAAATAAACGTTCAAGACTCGAGGCGTTACCAAAATATGAAGGGAGAATTTTTTTTTTTTTTTGGTGAAAATATATAGGGAGAATTGACCAGTCATCAAGGTAACTTCGGGCTGGGAATCCTAAATCAGAAATCGGAGAATTGATCAATATAAAAACTTATTAGATTGGTTCAAACTTTTTCTTTATAACTGAATAAATGATCAGAGTATGAAAACTAATTCCTTTCTTTTTTTTTGGCAAAAAAAATCTGAAAACTACTAAGAACACAAAGAATTGATGGAAATCTGGAAATATTTGAAAATTCATGGTTACTTATTCAGTTGGCACAACCTTATTTTTGAAAAATGTATTTGGTATGAAAAACTTCATATTTTGGCTCATTTTTCCTTTTTATATTTTAATATTATTTAAATATTGCTTGATTATTTAAATATTACTTGAAAAATTTAGTTACTTATTGACTTAATCATCAGTATCACGATGGATGCATTATTAGATTACTATTTTAAATTCAATACGTGATTATGGAAAAATTATTTTATTTAGATTTAAGTATTGAGGAATGAAATTTATTAGTGACAGTTTCTGATAAATTATATATTTGTCAGAGTTGCTTCGCTGCATATTTAATTATTTAGTGTAACTCTTGCTTCCCTTTATAATTCCCAAACCATGCAATGAGCACCGATTCATATTTGCTCCAACGGTTCTTTCTAGCAAGGAATGAAGGCTAAACTTGCCCAGTTGCCCTCATGCGCATAGCGTGATCGTCATGAACAACGTGAATCAACTAGAAGAAGTCCCAGGGAATCAGCCCAAGTGACCAAAACTTGCTTCATTATACTCCCTTCTCCATCCATTTGAAAGACTTCTCGTTCCCATACCAGGGGCCAAAAATGAGGACTGACTTTTTCTTCCATTCTTACATTTTCTCTTCCTATTCCCCAATTGCTGGACAACAAAGTTTCCGGATCTTTTGACGCTTATAAGTCCGTATGTAACATATAGTCAACTAATCTTGTCCACTTCTTGTGGAAGTCAGATGCTGAACCCTCACGCACTCTACCAAGAAAACGTTCCATTAAACCGACCTATATATGGTCATACGTTCTGCTTACCAACTTCATATTATTATTTTTTTTTTTCCATTCTTCACTAGCATTTAGTATCGATTTCCATTATTTGCAAATAGCTTCTAGGTAATGTCACTCAAGCCGTTTGCAAATAGCTTCTAGTTAATGTCACTCATGCCGTGTAAATTAAAGATTAGTTGATGATAACACCAAGGACTAGTTGGCTTCTAGCGCCAAGCAACCAGAGTCAAAGTTGACCTGCAAACTTGAAAACTACACAACCGAAGAGAAGATCAGCACCATCAGAGAAATCAACAAAAATAATTTGACCAACCAACTTGATGGAAGAAACTCACCAACGAAATAAACGGTGTAGACCACCCATCACAGCATGTCATTAGACGTTTGAACGCCTCTAAATCACCACAGACGCGCAAAAGTCAAAACTAATACCAAAACAGGAATTATGTTTGGGAATGGGAAACTCAGAATGCAGCACACGCAATAGAAGAACTATGTTTTGTCCGTATTAATGCATGGAACGGCGATCAAATCTCAGCTGTTCAGAGAGCGCCCAAAATCCCGCCACCATGACCAACAAATCAAGCTCCATTCAAAATCAGAACCCCAAACAGATCAAAAGGGATAGAATCCGAAAAGGGTAATCGTAGTTCATAGCTCACTCATCCCTCTATTTTTTAAACTAAAAAAAGTGAGTATCCTGTTTTCTTCATCCAGAGTTCTTCGTCGTCATCGAATTAACATCCTAGAAGGAGGAGTGCAACTTTTTCCTCTTCGTCCCCGAGCTTTCGGTTGATTTCAGGGGATTAGAGTTCCCTTGTCTTCTGTGAATTCAGTGACAGTAATTGCTGCGGTACGAACCACCGTACAAAAACTTAGGGCTCCCGTTATGAAAACCGATTGGATATCCAACCGGCGGTGAGCAGTTGTGACAGGCCACCGAATAAGGCACGGTCTCGATGGAGGTGTGAGGAGATCTGGACGGAGATTGATTCGCGCTAGAAGCAGAAGACGAAGGAGGAGATATTTTCTTGAGCGAGTTCGGCGGCGAAAGAATGGCTCTGATCTTCAGTGGATGAGCCAACAACGACGAAGCTCGATCATATTCGTCAATTATGTGGGCCAGATCTTCATCGTTGGTTATCGAAATCAACGTCTCCAAGTCTCCGTCAGGTAAAGGACATCTCAGCGTCACAGAAAAACCAGACAACTTTTCAAGCTTCGCCATCAGCTCTGCAAATGACCATAAATTCACTAACAGATGAGTAAATCAAGAACTAGACAAGTAGAAAGATACGAGGGCGAGAGAAGTCAAGGAGAAAACCTGAAAAAGCAATAGAAGGATCGACGGCGAGGACTCTCGTGTGGCCGCCGACGTAGCGGAGCTCGCCATCGGTGACCCGAGGACGAATCTTCCCGCCATAGCTACAGAGGAACTTGATAGTGGCTCGTTCTTGATTTCTGGGTTTGAACTCCATGATTCGAGGGCAACGAAAGAAGGTTCTAGGCTCCTCCTACGCGAGGCTAAAAGTAGTACTTAGCTATCTGCTATTCTATTCAAGGCGTTGGAGTTTCAAAACTGTTGTGAAGGTTTTGGTGGGTATTTATAGGCCCGCGGAACGGGACCTGCTCATCACTGAAATATTCCTCCGGTTTTATTTATAAATTTTATTTTAAAAAATATATTTGATTTCATTTATAAGTTACGATGTGTCTTTTTAAATAATATTTAAAAAATATTTTTAAAATTATCCTTCATGAGAGAGAAAAAATAATAGAACATTACTTTTTAAATTTATTATATAGGGGCATGTTTGAAATTTTACTTACTTTTATTCCTTGTATTTTTATTGTATTGGTATTGATGAGGTTGGTAAAAATGACTTATAAATAGGACTGGAAGGAGTAAGATTTAAACTGTCCAAAAGTTAGATGGTTCAAATTTAACTTTTTATTACATGTTATATTTAAAATCAAAATTATAAAATAATTTTAATAATTTTTTTATTTTTAATATAATCTAAATTTAATTTAAAATATTTAATTTAATATTAAAATTTGTATAATTATTATATATAAACTATTTATATGTATTATACACAGTCCATATAAATTTTATAAATTTTTATTTTAAAAAATATAATATATAATAATGAGTTAAAGCTACATCATTCAAATTACAATTTAAATAGTTTACATCTTATTACAATGATAATCACCCAAACAAAACTCAGAAATGAGGGTATCATTATAGGAGGCCCACGCGCAAAGATGAATTATTCTCTGGTGGAATCCTATTTTGATATGCAAAATGTGAACTCATAATATTTTATAAAAAAAAAAATATAACTTTATGTTCTTATATTTATTCATATTTTATTATTGATTCTTGTATTTTTTTTATATTCTTGATCTCTCTTTTTTTATTATTTTATAAAGCATAGAGATTTTAAAGTTATATTTTTCATATTTTATAATAATTTTGTAAAATGTACTTAGTTTTGGCTTTGAAAATAATCTTATCTCATGGCCGAAAAATAATCTCAAACGGACGTCGTCAGCATCTGTGGATAACATTTTTTAAGTCACGACGCACAATCACAATTCGCAAGGCATGCTAACTAATTAGTTGCCTCTCCTTCTTTATTCCTCTTCTTCCCTCATTTTCTTTAAAACATAAAAATCAGTCATTCATTGACGAGAATATAAATCCGTGATTTTTTTGGTGCATGGTTCGCAAAATTAATCTTTTCAGGTTCTACTTTTTTTTTTAAAGAGTTTTTAGGTGTTGTAAATTCTTCTTTCTAATTGTAATTCGGCAATTTAGTTTGACTGATTGACAATATAGATCCTATTTGGTTCTCTTGATTGAGGAAGCGGGGAACTGGGGCTGATGTCGAATGATGTCACCAAAAGTGATGATATGGGGACGTAGAATGGTGATTTGCTACGCCGCTGGTGATTTTGGCAAAACGCTACCTCGTTAGAAAGTGGGATCATCAGGCAAACCCATGGCTTCAGGCAAAACAAAATCTGAAAATTTGTTTGGTCATCTGGAGCAGCATGAGGAATGGGAAAGATGGGGAGAATTTTGTCTTTTTATCTTGATTTGATTGTTACTCTTTTTTAAATCCCACCTCTACCGAAGATAATTTTAATAAGTTATTCTCATTGTCAATTCCATTTTCAATCTCAATCCAAATTTTTAAAAAATTTAATGCATCCCAATCCTTTAAAAATTCAATACATCATATCAAACACGGCATAGACTAATAAGTGCAAGCTGCTGCTTCTTCGTTGATTACAAACTATAAGCTTTTTGGACAGATGGGTTTCAATTAGTTATGGAAACATGTTTTATTGATCAGCTATTCGTGCAGCAGGAGGCGGGCCACATAACCCGAATAAAAGGCAGTCAGTTAACGTAACGTCGTCGGCTTAAGATTCGTTTCCGAGTGTATTGGACTGTTTTAAGATTGGAAGTGCTCCAGAAACTAATATGAATTGTGAGGTGATTAATACATAATTTTGTAAGATTAAAAACAAACTATTGACCTTGAGTTTACGCGAAAGAGAGTGAAAGGAAACCGACTTAGGAAAGGGCGTTGGAATTATATGCGAATATCCCTTTCTGGATGTTTCGGGGAAGCACTTTTCTTGATGGAAGATTGGGGAGCCAATGGGGTGGATCTTGGTGGCCTGCTGAGGTATGGCCCACAAGAATCCCTAATCTGAAATGACCTAGAGCAGAAATTAGAACTTGGCCCCCTTTCATTTCATTTCTCTTTTTATGGTTTAAGCAATTGGGAAAGATATATTATACAATTAATGATAGACGACATTCTGCAGGCATCTTCCAAGCTCGTCCGTGTGTCGAAATATGTTACGATCTCTATCTCAACTTTTGTTCCCAGTCTATGATTTAATTATAATTTGAGGAAATCCCAATCTTTCTTTACTAAATTAAAGTATCTAATCGGCCAAAAAAGAGTTTTATCACCCCCCATATGCATATGAAAAAGAAAGGCAGTGGGATCAGCGTTGTCTGAACTCCTCATTTCGTGGCATTATTGAACGAACTAGTCGAATTCCATTACCTGGAGCACTTTTCTTGGTTAATGGATAATTTACTTGCATGATATGCAAATCTTGCAAAGGCCATTCTCACACGAGACTCTGAAAAAGAGGTTGAAAAATAAGCACTCCCGCGCGCGAATGCGAAATGATTAGGCAAGAGAATCATTCATCTTAATATACAACTCTTATCACATAAAAATGCTATCATGGATTTTCTTACCCAAAAAAAAAAAAAAGGCCATCACGGATTACCCATCCTTTGTTGTCGGATATTGCCTCAGCTTGCAGAACAATTAATGCCCGGGGGGAGGCGAGGCGCGACAAAGATATGCCAAGCACGAGCCACGTGTGAGGAAATGAGGACACCTTAAGGGTCACGTGCAGCCAAGTGTCTTCAAGTAAAAAGATTGTTGAATATCGAGACAAAATTGAAAATTTGGTACTCGCAATTTTGGGTTGGAATGATCTCCTGGTATGGATGTGTCTTTTCACGTACAAGGTGATAACTGCTGATATCTGGAAGGCAGTAATGATTTGCTTGAGTTCTCATTGTATGAAAAGAGGCTATGAGCTGCCATGTCTGGATCCCCACACGTAACCCTGCTTGCTATGATTCCGTGTTTTTTAAACCTTTCTGGATCAAAATTGGTGAAGCCCAATGTGGAGCTGTTACTGCCAAAATACAGCCCAACTAAAAGAAACCCCAAGGGCCCATTGTTTTTGGCTGAAAAAGAAGTCAGAGCCCATAAAAACAAAAATGTAAGTGTTCATTTACTTTGCGAATAGATAAAAAATATTTCAGGTGTAAAAAAAAAAAAAAACATTTCATGTGTCTTTCTACTTACCTACGTATGGAATCTTAGAAATGGAAGAATGCATTTTTACACTTTTGCAAGTAGGTGATTTTTTGTGCGAGCACTTTTAATGAAATTCAAAAAACAAAAATTAGTAATATTTATATAAATTATAAACCTTTATATAATTTTGATATTGATTTATCTTTGCATTGATATTTTTTGACCAGCCATTGATATTATACGCACATATATATATATATATATATATATCTTGATGGATAGTAATTCAATACATCCGACACGCGACGCTTATAAGTCTGGAAGAAACCCTAACTCAACACTCGTTAGCGCCGCCAACGCTCGGAAGAGGCGAAAATGACGACCAGGTTCAAGAAGAACAGGAAGAAGAGAGGGCATGTGAGCGCTGGCCATGGCCGTATCGGCAAACACCGGAAGCATCCGGGAGGTCGAGGTAACGCCGGAGGTATGCATCATCACCGTATCCTCTTCGACAAGTACCATCCCGGTTACTTCGGTAAGGTTGGTATGCGTTACTTTCACAAGCTTCGCAACAAGTTTTACTGCCCCATTGTCAACATAGACAAGCTTTGGTCCTTAATTCCTCAAGAGGTGAAGGACAAGGCTTCCAAGGATAGCGCCCCTGTGATCGATGTCACTCAGCATGGTTATTTTAAGGTTTTGGGTAAAGGAGTTTTGCCTGAGAACCAGCCTGTGGTTGTGAAGGCCAAACTTGTGTCGAAGATTGCTGAGAAGAAGATCAAGGAGGCTGGCGGAGCCGTTATCCTCACTGCCTAATGTTTAGGGTCTTGGATTAAGAAAATGATACCTTTTGTCATACATTTGTTTTTGAACAATTGAGGTATTGGATCTTCTTGTTAGTTCTGTTATATTTGAGGCTTACCTGCTGTATGTGGCTATGGGCTCATACATGAATCGTATTTTATGTTAAATGTTCCTTATCTAAGCTCACGATAGTAACTACGAAACTAGTCTTCTGATTGTTTTGAAGATAAAAAGATTCACACTTTTCAGGGTCAATCGCATTTTTCCAAGATTGATTTGCTGCTGCAACTGTGCGTTCTATCAAAATTTATAGCACTAGTCAACGCATGAATTTCCCATGGGTGATGGAGGACATTTTCTATGAACAGATTTTAAAAATAAAAGAGAATGGTTTTTATTAATTTCAGCAATCTACGGTGGTATAGTTAACTCAGTTTACTTCATATGTTAGCTGTACGTAAGTTGGTTGTATTTTCCCTTGTATACATGCACACTAAGTTCAGTGAATCAATATTACTAGCTTCCTCGATTATCACATTACAAATTTGTAATCGAGCCTACACCCTCTCCGCCATTTATCTACTTTCCCCCGGGAGTGCCATTCCTTCTATAAACATCTCTGGGTAGTGTCTTTGATGGCAATTATTTTGCTTGGTCTTAGAATAAATTTTTTGCATTTTCTTTTCATCTACCATCGCCTATTGGATAGGATGGTCTGTAAGAATTGGCGATCACTGTTGGTGCTAGACTGGTAGTCACTTGGTTGCGCATTAGACGCAATTGGAATGATTGCACGATACTTGGTAGCGTTGTACTTAGCTTACGGCATTATGGCTGTAAAAGTGACAGTTGTGAAAGTTGTGCTTGGCGTTGGCGCTCTTCACAAATGACTTAGTGATATTGCCAGGTTTTTAATCGTTGAAGAACTACATGGTATGGATCTGATTTCGGCGTCATTCATAAATTTTCTGGTGTTATTTGAGTACCTGTCTTTTTGAAAGTTAGGAACTGCGGATAATAATGAGCCCTGAGAAGTATGTTTTCCCCGTTTTGGAATGGAAAGCTATGGGAGAGTCAGGAGGGGGAGATAACACCTACAAAGCTCCGGGCCTTGCCTCAGTTCTCTGAAGCTTGAATTATCAAAAAGTGCATTCAGTGAGAGTCACAGTGGAGTGTGTTTGGCGGCGAAGTTTAGGAAGCGATTTGTATCACAATATTGGGATCCGGTTTCTTTGCCATTCTAAGCAACGAACTGAGATGTTGGGATTCTGGGAGTCTCAACTACTGCTATTTTATTATCTTGGAGGGAATATTAAGATTATGGGTGCCTCGGTTAACATATTTGGGAAAAGGACCTGAGCACAACTCTGCAGATTATTTTCCATGTTTTACATTTTTGGCCGGTTGGTCGGCGTCTTTTCTTGTGTCTTGCAATTCAGGTTTTTTTCCCCCAAATATGTTTGTTGGGAAAAAAAAAAAGTGCTTAATCCCAATTTTTCTTATTATCTCTCTCCCTTTGTTCCGCTTATTCTGCGATATATGCCTTCGTGCCTTGTCTAGTTCTTTTTTACTTCTTGAAGGGTGGGTCAAAGCCCAATGCCTGTCATTTAATCAGGGGAACTTGAGTTCCAGTTCCATTGGTATTAAGGGAGGTACGAATACAATCAGCAAGACAGTTAGGTCAACTCTCTTGGAATAAAACTGACGGGAAACTCCCATTCCCTTGTACACTCAGGTGGATGATCCAAGATCCTTTATTTTCCCGGTCAGGTTTCGTAGAGCAGTTTTCAAGACTTGTACACTGCATATGCTCTTTTTGACTTTTTGTTTGGGCGGGAAAGAAAAATTATTAAAAATAGTAAAAAAAATAATATTATTTTTGAACATTTTTTCTCTTAATTTTTTTCTCATATCTATTCTCTTCTCACTTTTCTTTTCATCTTAAATGACATGAGCCACATGGCATCATGTTTAATGTAAATTGATCTAGCGGTTAAAATTCATAAGCGGCGTCACTCCCCCCCCCCTCTCTAACTAATAGGACTATAGGAGCATAACATCGTCCAATGTTGTGAAAACCGGACCGGACGGTCCGACTGTCACCCGCTGAGTAAAGCGGTTTGGTTCAACCAATTGAACCGTTTTAGCTGTTGGACCAGATTGAACTGGACAGAACCGTTTGATTTTCATTGAACCGGAGTTGACCCGGAACTCGGAGACGGTTCAACATGGGTCAATCCGGGTCAGTTAAAAAATAAAAAAAATACTTGTACACGACGTCTCAGGCAATCAGGCTCTCAGTGTCACAGACAGACTCATACTCACACCTCACGGCTCAGTCACATCCTCAACTCAGACTCAGACTTCTCACGCGTTGTCACCTTCACCTGTCGGTAGTCCAATCCAAGGCTCAGCACTCAGGAAAATAAATCTAAAAGATGAAGAAAGCATTCCCAGTTTCACACTCGCACAACCTCCAGACCAGAGCCGCCTACACGGCCACACCACACCACACCACAGAGACCCACACTGCCAGATGTCGTAACGGAGATGGAGTGATCTTGAGCACTCTCTATCTCTCTTCTCCAAGTCTTGCCTTCCTCATCTCTCTCTCTCTCTTCCGAGTTCATTGTAGTAGATAGAGTTACAAACGACCTGAGCTGAGATTGAGACCTCACTCTCGCTGTCTCACGATTGTTGCTCGCCTGAGTCCTAACCTCTCACAATCACAGTCACAATCTCACTCTCACACCCTTATATTAGAGCTCAGAGCCTCAAACTCGTCTCTCTAGCCTCTGGTCTCAGCGTCTTGCTCTCGCCTGATCTGTCTCACACTCACAGTCTCAATCTTATACGGTCACACCCTTAGAGCTTAGACTCGTCTCTCGAGTCTTGCTGTCTCGCACAGTCACACCTTTGGTCTCACTCTCGCCTTTCTCTGTTTCTCATCTCCATTCTCTAGTTAACTAATCAAGGCATCAAGCCTTCAAATTTGAAATCTCACTCAAATCTTATATTGTACTCTGTTTTTGATTCGTCCTCCTCTCACATCTCGCTCGCCATTCTCAGCCTAGACCTAAATTGCCTCCAGCTCCTCTTAGGTCCCAGCTCCAGCTCGTGCCTTTGCCTTTGCGTGATTCTCATTTTGCTCCAGCTTGTTTGATTCTTAATGTGCTCTGCTCTATTTCCAAGTTCGATTTCTAGCTTCTATGTTCTATCTATGTATTTAAGTTTGTATAATGAGTAATATGTATATTGTTTACACGATTCGTCCAGCCATTTATCTGTGTATGCTTGTTTGCTTTATTTTTTATTGCTCTGTTATTTATTGATCTGGAATTCTGGATGTGATCTAATTATTTTGAGTATGATCTAATTCTTAGCTCTGCTCTCCTTTTCACATTTTATCTGTGCTTTCAATTTAAATTTAGAAAATGTCATCTGAACAAATATCTAGTACTGCATCCACACAATCTGTTAGAGCTAAGTCAGATCCTATATAGGAGCATTGTACTGAAATACCAAATGAAAAAAGTGGCAAACCTCGCTTAAGATGCCTATATTGTGGAAAGGAATTTGGTGGTGGTGGAATACACAGAATGAAACAACACCTTGCTGTGAAAAAAGGAGATGCAATTAATTGTAAAAGTGTGCCACATGATGTTCGCTATTGATTGGAGGAAAACTTGAAAGAAATTGATCAAAAGAGACCAACTAAGAAATTGAGAAAACAATAAGAGGATAATCCATTGGAAGTAGATGATGGAATTGTGCAAGAAATAATTCCTCCAAGTTCTTCTCAATCAGTCAAAAAAAAGGCATCTACAGCTAGAGATAAATTCTTTGCCCCAAGGGCAACCTCTGGAGCACAACCAAGAATTTGAAGTGCATTTGCAGGTAAAGAAATTCGGCATAGAGTGGATTTAGCTATGGTTAGGTGGTTGTATGATTGTTGCATTCCTATGAATGCTGTAAATTCTGTTTACTATCAGCTTGTGATAGATGCTATTTCAACTATTGGCCCTGGTTATAAAGGACCAACTTACCATGCCGTGAGAACTAAATTACTGCAAGGCATGAAAAAGGAGGTGCAATTATTGGTTGATGAATGTAGAAACTTTTGGACTGAGACTGGATGTATAATAATGGCTGATAGTTGGCAAGATCAAAGAAATAGACAATTGATTAATTTTCTTATTTACTGCCCTAGAGGAATGGTTTTTATTAGATCTGTTGATGCATCGGATATTGTTAAGCATGCTCAAAATCTTTGCAACTTATTCATGGATATGGTTGCTTTTGCTGGTGCAGATAATGTTATCTACTTGGTAACTGATAATGCAGCTAATTATAAAGCTGCTGGAAGGTTGTTATATGATAAGTTTCCTTCTATTTTCTAGTCTCCTTGTGCTGCCCATTGCTTAAATTTGATTTTATCAGATATTGGCAAAATGGAGATTGTTAATAGCTTAGCAACACGTGCATCCATGATTTTGAAATTCATTTACAACCATGTCTTTTTGCTAGCTTGGTTAAGGAAAAGAGAAGGCTGGACAGAAATCATTCACCCCGGAGCAACACGATTTACCATTACTTTTATTGCCTTAAAAAGTATCTATGAGCACAAGCATGATATTCAAGCTTTAATAACAAGCAAGACATTTGTAGAATCTAGATACTATAAGGATTCAAAGGTAAAGGATGTGACAATGATTGTATTGGACAATCAATTCTGAAATAATTGTAAAATTATTGTTGAAATTGTAAAACCACTTGTAAAATTGTTAAGAATTGTTGATTCTGATGACCGGCCTTCACTTGGCTATGTGTATGATGGCATGTACCGAGCAAAAAGAGCTATAAAGAATACTTTCAGGCATAAAAAATCTTTGTAGAAGCCTTACACAAGTATTATTAAGAGAAGGTGGGATTCTCAACTTCGACAAAATCTTCATGCAGCAGCATATCTCTTCAATCCTGCTTTCCTTTATGATAAGAAAAATTTTTCTAGAAAGCCAGAGGTTATGCAAGGATATCTTAATGTGATAGATAGAAAAATTTCTTCTAATAAAACCAAGTTTTTATTAGAGGGCACACAATACCAAGAAAGGTGTGGGAGCTTTAGTCATCCATTGGCTTTAGAATCTGCAAAAACCATGCGACCTGGTAAACTTTATACTTTTATCTTTGATAGTTATTATTTTTATCTTTAAAATATATTCTAATAACTTACTTTTTCTCATGATAGATGAATGGTGGAAACATTTTAGGAGTAGCTATCCAAATGTTAAAGACTTGGCTGTTAAGATATTAGGCCAAACTGTATCTTCCTCGAGCTGTGAAAGGAATTGAAGTGTCTTTGAAAGAATACACTCCAAGAAAAGGAATAAGTTGGATCATGAAAGATTGAATGATCTTGTTTATATTCATTACAATTTTCGATTAAGGAATAGGTAAATTAGTCAAAATTTTGATTTCATTTCTAGCTATAAAAAATAAGTTACATGAATCCTTATACTTTGTTACTATCATGTGTTTTTATTAGAGTTGCTAACAAGAAGAAAACTTTGGACCCTGTTGATTATGAAAGTATTGATAAGATTGAGTATTGGTTAATGGAAGAAGATGATTATTCTTTACTCAATATTGATGAGATAGAACGAGATCTCATTTATGATGACACAGTGCTACCAAAAGCTATCATTCATCAAGAGGATGAAGAAGGTTTAGTATTATTTATTCAATGTTTTCACTTTTTTTTATCACTTATCATGTGATTCTTATTAATTTGATTATATCCATTAAATGTTTGTTTGTGAAGATAATCAGCAAAGAGGCAACGTGACAGATGGTGAAGTCATTGGTGGACTTGATTTACAATTATTTTTTCACAAGGATGTTGATAGCTTTAGTGAAGATGTTGATGCTTTTGAGCCTGCCTATGCTTAGATTAACCAAGATCCCCTAATATTTGATAAGCCATGAAAATTTAAACTTATGATGTTGTGAACTTTGCAATGATATGTTTGAGAAATATTTTGAATTTGTGGTATCTTTGTTTGAAACTTTGATCAATTAGAACATGTTTGACACATATATTTTGGATTTATGATGTCACTGTTTGAGATTTTGAGCAATTAGAATATGTTATGTAATGTGGATTTGTGGTGTTGCTTGATGTATTATTGTCTTTTTAGGTTCAATTAATGTCTTGTTTATAAATATATATAGATATATATGCATATAAATATTATTTTTTATTTAAATTTTATGTCACCGGTTCGACCGCCGGTCTAACCGGTTGAACCGTGAGAACCGTGACTCGCTGCTCTTTTCGATTCGATGTTCGGTCCGAGTTTCAAAATATTGACATCGTCATTCTGATTTCCGAGCTGTCGTCCTATTAACAAAAAAAAAAAACCTAAACAAAAAAATTTCAGAGGATTTTGGTTTGTGGGAATGAGCCCGATACCATGTATGATTTTAATAACTATATTTTCAGTGGACCTGATATTAAAATACTCTATATAAATATATTTAAATTTTTTTTAACCTTGGAAAGCATTTTAAATATTTTCAGTGAATCTACCGAACAAAGGCAACTTCTTGAGATGTCCCATGTCGATTTCATGGATGCATTCCAGCCAACCAGCAACATGGCATACGATAATAATCTTGGTCTTACCATAGTATTTTGCAATACCTATAATTAACCAATCCTTTGTTAAGTTGGTGTCTAAAATTTTATTCCACTCCATTGCTCATCACGATATTTCCAGTCATCTTGTCATGGATATATATGATTGCTCAGTGTAAACTGTAAAACCGGCAACTCAATTCGTTAGTAATGCAATATATTTGCCAAGAAGGTTGACTTAAACTCATTCGTTTTCACTGCTGACATAGATACTGCCATATTGGGACATAATACGCTTTCAGTTCTTCAAGTCCAAAGGCATGGAGTCCATACGAGATCTGCATTGTGTTTGAAATTTTTTTTTTTTGGGTATTTGAAGATTATTCGGGGTGTGGGTGTGTTCCCACCCACGGACTCCTCCTCGAGCCCAGCTCTGTGAAGGGGACTCAACATCCTTTTCGGGACATCTCCATAAACTGGTCCATCGTTTGCTTTTGTTGGATCAGTACATAGCTTTCATTCATTCCGATCTTCTATGCGTGCTTGGGTCCTCATGGCGGCAGCCCAGTGCTTCCCGCGGCCTCCAAATTCGTCACTTTTAACTGTAAGTCCCAAAAACAACTTGATTTTGGGGCAGGTTAATGAAACTTTACTGTGTACATTTTTTTTTTAATGTATATAATAGATTGGTTGTACGTTCAACAAGTAAAAAGTTCAACAAACATGAAAAGTTGAGCCTGCGGAAATTAACCACACATTTTCCAATCCGCCAATCGAAACAAAGCAGAGAAGCTTCTTGCCGACATAAAAATGCAAACAAAAAATTTCAGAGTCTTGAGTAGTGGTTTTTTTTTTTGGGGCACTCAAATGACAGTGGACCAGGTTGATTAACTTGCTTAATTTAACCAAAATAACTACCGGCTCATTACTAGGAACCAATTTCTCTTTCAGATGAATACATAGGAACTTGATTCGGATTACTCTAGAGGATTATGGTCACCGTATATGCTTCAATTTTCTAGGATTTTTAGAAATAGTTTCTCCTATAATAATTATCATTCCATACTTTTTCGTAATGTTTGTATCGGGCACATCTGGGACTAACATGACGTGATTAGTTACGGTGATCTAATCTTTCCTATTGAATCGTTTAAGTATTCAACCTCAGATGCTGATCGTACGAACATGCATGTAACGATTGCTTCAGGTAGCAAAGTATTTACCAAATCAACAAAAGTCTTCTGGGTTCTAATTGAATGGCATATTATGAATAGACTTGCGACTAGACACTGCAGTTTCCAATATTCATTACATTATTCCGTACCATAAAGGATATTCCCCAAGATAAGTTCTAACAACTAATAAGGCTGCAGTTGGATATCAATGGCATCTTCCTCCAGCATATGTCAAATTAATGCCTGTACATTTGTTTCAAACATTATGATTGTCGGTTTCAAAGTCAAAGTACGTTGAGTCACATGCTACAAATCGCTGTAGTCGGGGAAAAGCTTACGACTAAGTACCTTAGAATAATTGTTTTATTCCTCCTTAATCCTTATAGGATAAGAATGCCAAATCATATGTACAGGTAGGTAGTGTATATATGGTACTTGATGGCTGTCCCTTCATGCGTCCGCTTTCACGAGAAGTCAAAAACATTGGTTGACTCAATCACTGTGCACACATCACTACATCATAATACAATTTTTTTTGTTTATAAAAAGTACATTCATAAATAATATTTCCTCAAAAAATATAAAATATTTTTTTAAAAATTATATTAAATATAATATATTTTTAATATTTTAATATATAATCATTATGCTTTTTCAAAAACACTTTTAATAAATAAATTATTTTATTTATTTTTGAGTAAAGCATTCCATTAAATCAAGATAAATATATAAGAATGATATTAATTTAAAAATAAATAATAATTTTATTAAAAAATAAGATTCAATTAAAAATGATTCACTTTTTTTATATGGACGGAACAAGTAGTATACTCTTTCAATCTTTTTTATAAGTTATTTCTATCAACTTTATCAATATTAATGTAAAAAAATATAAAAAATAAAAATATATAAAATTTTAAATATATATTTATATAATAAATTTAAAAAATAATGTCATATTATTTTTTATTTTATAAAAAAATTAAATATTATTTAAAAAATTGTATTATAATTTATAAAGAGGTTTAAATTAGTTTTTTAAAATGTGCTTGGTAGAATGAGAGGGAGTATCTACCTTGATCGCCTTATTGGTACGGACTCAGCCTTTTTTCCCTGTTCACGGGAACATGGGCATCTTTCGTTTCCACCTTTTCTTTTGGTGGATTTGTAAAGTATGGAAATAGACATTGTTGCTTTCATTTCCTTTTCAGGGGTAGGGTCCGTTGGATATAATCCATTCTGAGTTATCAATGTCTATCAATTATCAACTTGGCATATCTATCCACTTAATTCCTCGTGCTTTTGGATAAGGACATTAAAAGGCCATTTTTGAGTCGCAATATATATATATATATATGTACAATTAAAAACTTGTCCAGTTGTATCCCAAAACAACCTACTCCCAGAGGATTAACTGCTAATTATGCAGACTAAAGCCAAAGGGTCTCTGTTTTATGCTTTGTGTGTTTTGTTTGTTTGTTCAATTATTGCCATGGCCTTTCCTCTTATAGATCATATATTTATTCTCTTCCTTTCTTTCTAAGCTTTCCCAGCTTCAAATGTCAAGTTAGTAATTCACCAGCGGTCGTTCTGCAATAACATTCAGTGTAACCGCAGAGCTAGAATTTTCAACGGTGTCAGTGTTCAATCTTTTATTTGTTTATTTTTTGGTGTTAAAATTGGCATATTCTGATGCTAGTCCTGCACAAGGGGCCCAGCATGACAGAGAGAAAAACAAAGAACACTACCAATTTGGCTTAACTAGTGTAGATCTAGGAACATTAAAAAAAGAAGAAGAAAAAGAAGCGTAGATCTAGCAATATAAAATTTTGGATCCTAAATTTATAAATAAATGTATCAATTAAGTTCGGTTCAATCTTAAAAAGTTAAGACTTAAACAGGCTAATTCTATAAAGTCTGATTATATTTTAGAGTTATATTTTACTCAACCCAACCCTCGCCCTGAAGGTTGAAAGGCCGGCCCTCAAGGTCTCAACTTTATATTTTTTTATTTTTAATTTAAAAATTAAAAAATATATTTAAAATTTAAAAAAAAGTATTACACATGAAATTAAATCTATAAAAATAAATTTAAGTCTAATAAAAAATAACATTATAAAATCAACACCGATAACAATCAGACTTTGCTACTATCATCAACGAAATCTTGATTATTTTCATTGTCATCAATATCAATATAATTCTATCTTTATATTTGTGAAGTCTTAACAATAGCAAAGATATTAAACTTTTTATATATTCCTTCTTCATCCTTATAAAATGAGGTTAAAATTTTAAAATTAACATAGTATTTAATTTTTTAACATTAAAATTTAAAAAAATTATAAAAAAAACTTAAAAGGGTTGACCTAGTATCTTAGGACTTAAAGCCTAGATTATCATTTTATGTTTTAAAGTATATTGATTCTGAATTTTTTTTGAACCTAAAAAGACCAGCCTGATAAATTCTATCCTAATTAACAGCTTTATTCATAAAGCCTTACATATGATTTTCCTTGGCCAAAACAAAAAAGAAAAATGATAAAGCTGTACAAAAAGCATTCATTTTCATTTTTGAGATAGTATTGTCCAATCTTTCATTTTCTTTCTTCGGGTAGGGGCTGGGTTCGTTAAACTAGAGAGGTTTATGACTGTCTAGTTCAATTTCTTAATAACCTTTTTAAGAATCATTTTCACCCTATTTAAATGATTGTATTATATACAAGAGGTTAATCATTTGAAGAACAGGAATACGTCTAATGAAGTCTTTAAACCAGAATTTTAAATTTGATGAATTAAAATGGGTATGGATCCTACCAAAATATGTGCTTGTGGACAAAACATCAAGCAATTTTAGTAGAGCTTACAGTCAGCAAAATGGGATTTATACTGAGAGATTCTATGCAGGGGAAAAACAATTAACATAATATAATAAGTGGGTTAGGATAAGCAAAATTATTAGGATCTATAATTTACTAGTATAGTTGGCAAGTGGAGTTGGGTTATGATAGGATGGCTCTTGATTATTGATTAACCGTTATATCTAATTGGCTTTTCACTCCATGTTCCTTTATTTACCTTTGACTTCATATTCACACAATCATCGTCACCATTATATTAATTCCTCATTCCATCTTCTTCTGTTGCTTTGCTACTTACTACTTCGTCAAATGAATTATTTACATTTCCATATGCTCTACTTTGCTCTCACATCCACCCGAACCACTATTT